GAATCATCTATTGAATTATCAAGTGCTTACTGTATTAAGCTCCCGTCCTCCTGGGAGCCTCATTTTGCAGGAGCAATGTGGTGATTGCTAGAACCAAGGCCTGGCTTCCCAGTGTAATCTGGGCAGATACTCTGCTTATATCTGATCCTCACATCTGTCTACTCTCTGGTATGGGCATATTTTATCAGTGAGGACAGAGGCTCAAGCTAAGAGTCACCTCTGGCCAATGTCCATCCACATCTATTCACACAGGGAGGGAACTTTGCTCTGTTTCCAGAACAGCATAGAACTTGGGAAAAATGTGTATTCATATCTTCTGCTCATCACTTAACTGAATGTTTTTTAGGGGTTGAGTTGTATCGGTTCTTTGTATGTTTTGGATACTAACCCTTTATTGGGTATGCCATTTGTAAATATCTTTTCTCATTTCGTTGTCTTTTAGCTTGTTGATTGTTTCCTTTCCTGTGCAGAAGCTTTTTATCTTGACGAAGTCCCAATAGTTCATTTTTGCTTTGGTTTTCCTTGCCTTGGGAGACATATCTAGAAAGATGCCTGTGCTTTCTTCTAAGATTGTTATGGTTTCAGGTCTCAAGTCTAGATTTTTAATCCATTTGGGTTTCATTATTTTGTATGTAGCTGTCCAGTTTTGTTGAAGGGACTTGTCTTTTTCTCATTGCTTATTCTTGCTTCCTTTGTCAAAGATTGACTATATAAAATCGTGGTTTATTTCTGAGCTTTCTATTCTGTTCCAATGATCTATTTGTCTACTTTTTGCCAGTGCCCTTTGTAGTATATCTTGAAATCTGGGATTGTGATACCTCCAATTTTATTCTTCTTTTTCAAGATTGTTTTGGCTATTTAGGGTCTTTTGTAGTTCTATACAGATTTTAAGATTATTTGTTCTTGTTCTGTGAAAAATGCTGTTGGTATTATGATAGAGACTGCATTAAATGTGTAGATTGTTTTGGATAGTTTGGATATTTTAACAATATTTGTTCTTCCAATCCATGGGCATGGGATATCTTTCCATTTCTTTGTGTCATCTTCAATTTCTTTCATCAGCGTTTTATAGTTTTCACAGTACAGGTCTTTCACATCCTTGGTTAAGTTTATTCCTGGATATTTTATTATTTTGGGTGCAATTGTAGATGGGATTGTTTTCTTAATTTCTCTTTTTGCTGCCCTGTTGTTAGTGTATAGAAATGCAATGGATTTTTGTATGCTGATTTTGTATCCTGTACCTTACTGAATTATTCATCAGTTCTAGCAATGTTTTGGTGGAGTCTTTTGGGTTTTCTCTATATAGTATCCTGTCATGTACAAATAGTGACTGTGTTTCTTCTTCCTTACCACTTTGGATTCCTTTTATTTGGTTTTCTTGTTTCATTGCTGTGGTTAGGACTTCTCGTACTAAGTTGAATAAAAGTGGTGAGAGTGGACATCCTTGTCTTGTTCCTGACTTTAGAAGAAAAGCTGTTTTCCCCCATTGTCTGATGTTAGCTGTGGGTTTTTCATATAAGGCCTTTCTTATGTTGAGGTCTGTTCCCTCTAAACTGACTTTGTTGAGGGTTTTTAATCATGAATGGATGTTGTACTTCGTCAAATACTTTTTCTGATCAGCAGCATTTAATGCCTGCAGGGACAAGGGCCAGTGATTTTCATCTCCACGTGTATGTATCCGTGATGATACCTTCAAAATTAATGAGTTGAAATGGAATTTCACAGCAACAATTCTTAGCTAAAAGTATAATCTTGACCTATCAGCTTGGATATTCTAGTTCCTATCCGGGAATGACTTAGTTTTTGATAATATGATTTTTATTTTCTCTTTTTGATGTATCACATTGACTGATTTGTGAATATTGAACCACCCCCGCATCCATATAATCTGCAAAGTTTTAACTATAAATCCACAAATGATTTTACCTTAATTACGTGCAAGATTTCTAGTCTTGATTCTATCTCCACATGACAGTAAGAAATAAGTCTGTGGCCCTCTTCCCTTGAAAAGCATGTCAACTATGCTTGTTGACCACAGGAAGAGCTCCACCATGAATCTTTTGGCATTCAAGTGGCTCACCAGACAAAAAGATCTCCTGAGATATAGTGTTGAGTGTAGGAGACAGGTCTACTTTTCTCTGCAGTAAAAGACTTTGCATTCTTCAATTTCACAACTCATTCACCTCCATTCTCTACTAACCAGAAATCTGCAGAGATTCAACTAGGAATTTGGTGAAACGGGGGCATCCAAGGGGTGTTTGGAAGGGGTCCTGGGCAATTCAACTACGTGTACTCATTCTTGTGAAATCATTCCTGGGTAGGAGCTGGAATATCCAAGCTGATAAGTCAAGATTATACTTTTAGCTAAGAATTGTTGCCATGAAGTTCCATTTTGACTCATTAATTTTGCGGGTATCATCACAGATACATACACATGGAGATGAAAATCACTAGCCCTTGTCCCTGCAGCCATTGAATGCTGCCAGTGGCAAAATATGTATGCACAACCATCTTCATGATGCAGCAGCAGAAAAATGTTTTCCAATAATCAGTACCTTGAATTTCAGTAAGAGCAGATTGATAAACAAAACAAAAACAAGACCTCATAAAGATAATAAGGAGCCTCATTACTACCAAAGTTGTAGGGACCTCATGATGTGGGCTTGAGTGCAGCATGCAGGAAAAATCATGTGTGTGGCTACTGCTTATGAGCGTTACCCAATTTCCCCCCATCACAGCCTCACGGATATTAGGTGTGTATGACGACCTGGGACAAGTAAATGCAAGAGGCTGGTTGCAGGCAGAGATGAATGCCCTCAGGCTGAGGGGATCTGTGCAGATCAGAAGCCACCAAGCAGCACAACAGCACGCATCAGTATGAAGGGTGGGAAGCTTTGGCTCAAAGCCTTGACACCTATTCTAGCTTTCAAGATGGATTTGAAAAAGTCATTAGCAGACACATTTGTCATCACCCACCCTCACTCATGTATTACTCTACAGACATCTATTCCACACCTACTGGGTCCAAATGCGCAATGGCTCATCCTGCCCTTGGGGAGCTCACCGTCTAGTATGCCAGATGGGTATTTAAGCAGGTCTCTAGAACACAAAGTAGGGTGAAATCAAGGCCTAGGAGGGGGTTTCAAAGTGGCGTGAGGTCCCACGTGTATGGGGACAGGTGACGCTTCACAGAAAAGGGCCGTGTTAACAGAAGAGAGTTAATTCTGAACCGTCACCCTGACCAACAGCACACAATACAGCTTGCACTGACAAAGCAAAAGAAACAGCTCAATCCTTAGAACAACCCATTATAGCACCAGCACTGAGAGCATGACCGAGAACCACAATTTTTTAACTACTTTTGAGTAATGAGATTCGTATAAGGTAAAAATCTTTTATTTTCTATAGGTTCAGAAGCATGGCTCACATGTGATCTGCATTTGACATTTCTAGAGGTTCCAGCTTTTTAGGGGATCAGTAACGAGAATGAGAAAAACTTATGGCAACGTTCTAACTTGCCTGCTCAAGGTGCAGCTAATGAACACTTCCAGTGACCAGGACTTCCAATCTGCAACACCGCTTTAACTGTCTAAGCTGGAGATAAAGTGTAAACCTGACTACTTAAAATCTTCCCTTGGGATTGAGTTTAGATTGTCTTCATGAAACAAACTGCACCAGTAAAATGGAACCAGTGAGGGCCATCTTAAGGATTGGTATTAAAACAGTAATTCAATTTCAGCACCACAGAAAGCGTTGTGTTCCCAAGTTATCAAGCAGGAGTACTTCTAACACTGTAAGAAACAATTTTGACTTCATAATTTTGATTGGAATTATTTTAAAATGGTCCATTTCTGTGAACTTCTATTAGCAATGAATTCTGAACGCGTATAAAACCCATCTGGGGTTTTCAAGTCAAAACCTCTTCTAGTTAAAAACTTCTATCCATAAAATACATTTATATGTTAAGTTTGTTTGTTTTTTTTTTTTTAGGTAGGCTTCACACCCAGCGTGGAGCCCAATGCAGGGTTCAAAGTCATGCCCCTGAGGTCAAGAATCAGAGGCTTAACTGACTGAGCCAGCCAGGTGCCCTTGCATGTTAATTTTGAATGAAACCCTAATTTATGTTCTAGAATATCTTTTTGAAGATAAGCAGACTGAAAACAACTTGCATGTTGTCCATTTAAGTACTAAAATAGTTATATTCAATTATATCCCAAATCACTAAGATTTATCAGGTGTTCAGCAGAACAGGCTCTGTTCTACCCACTCCTCATGGGGCTTATTTAGTCCTGCTGCGAACTCTCCAATCCTACCAGACAACAGGCAGAGAAAAGAAGGGAGCTTGGAAGCTGTCTAGAAACACAAGCCATGGTTTAATAAAAATAAAGAGTGGTTTTATTGATAACATATAATTGCAGTTACATTAATATATATTATAAACTTTAAGGATTAGAAACCAATGACTTTATTCTTTACCGAGAATAATCTAGGGTACGGCCATATGTTCCGCGAATCTTACTTCAGCCCCACACAGTGGTCCTAGATCTATTTTTCACAAAATCAGGAAGTCACCATCCAAGCTTTGTATCAGGCCACACGTTTCATTAAGCAGAAATAAGACATTATGTTTTCTTCAGCAAATACCCCTTTTGTCACATCGTCCTATCTTCTCACATTTATCTTAATATACAAAGCTTAACTTTTCACCCCCAAGATAACGTGCACGTTGGAAAGTGCAAGTCATGAGACAGCAGCAAAATGCTACTCTGCCCTTTGTATCCTGGATTTTTCATTTTTGCCCCAGACCCCGCTTTATCATTAAAACTACATGAATCCCACAGTGTGATACTTTATCAGAAAAGTCTTTTTGTGTACACGTTACCACAAAGATGGAAAACGTCAAACAGTCCGAGCAAGTGTTTGGCAGACCACAGAAAGGAAAGAGGACCGTGGGAAAAGAAAACGCTTTAGTGTTTTAGAGCTGAAGAGCTTGACGGGCGTCATTCAAATTTCTCATCCCCTTCTTCCACGTCCTTCAGGTTGAGCACTTCCAGAGAACCTTTACCTTTTGTCTCCTTTTTTATGAGCTCATCGATTTCTCTGAAGCAGCCTGGGTCAATCAGACACACCTGAAACACGGAACACAGGTGCTCAGCAGGTGCAACGGAATGAACACAGTCCCCGCTTTCTCTCAGACACACAGCACGTTCCAGATGTCTCTACTGCTACCGTCCTACAGTGCAAGAACGAAGACAGAGCACAGGGAAGCAGGCAGGGCTCTAGTCTAGCCTCGCTCTTTTAAGGGCACACACAGGCCCTGCGACAGGCGTTAACCTCCCCGTCTGAGGTCGTCTCTGGACTCCACAGCCATCAAGTGAAGTGGCTGGAAGAGGAGAGCGTGGTTCTTTTGATACTACAGTTTAGCGCGAGGATTTACAGTCTGGCGAGAGCACCTCTATTTATCCACATCAGAAGGAGAAAAAGCAGCTTGAAGGCCTATTTAGAAATCACATGTGAAGTTCTGAAAAGACCGGAGAACTTCAGAATGTCAGATGTGTCCCTTCGCGTTTAGGGAGGAATGCCCAACAACCCCGGCCAGAGCTTGTTTATACTGGCGCTGGAGCCAAATCTCAGGGCCCAGGTTTGTAGACAACCGAATCTCTGCTGCGTCTGACACTGTGGGGCCAGGACCCAAAGACACCATGCTTTGCCGCGTCTTTAAAATGTTCTATGGGCAATGAGGCCGTCCAACTTTTCGTCTTATTTCCAATTTCCTCATAATAGAAGACTCACCGTAAAATATATTCTCTCGTCTAAACTGAGCATGGATTTAACCAGAAAAAACAAACCATCCCCCCACCCCCAAATCCCAAGTTGTGCTTAATTTAACTATAATTTCGTTTTAGTCTGACCTTGAGATTTTTACTTAATTCCAGGTAAGATGTTTCTGGAAATGTCTATTGTTCACACCTTTAAATGTCTGTGACGCATTTATGACTAGAAAACATGATTCTGGTAACATGGACGCAAAAGAATAAGAATATTTTTATCTTACAATTTCTAACTGCTGACTGTAGTCTTCGCTTTCTATAACCTTGATTAGGGGCTTCAGCTTTTCTTTCAGCTTCTTCCCTTCATTCACTGGAAGAAGGAACCGAAGTCTCATATGAGCACGTTCGATCTTCATCTTCTCCTTTAACTGCTTTATCACTTCCAAAGCCTGGCGAGACCAAATTGAAAATGTTGGCAATTTCTTTGCTACCTTTGCTGCATTACTTTGTAAGGTATTCAAGACAAAGCAGTTCCCATCCAGCCAAATTAGACGGTGGTTTTTAGGTAGGACACAAAGAACATAAACACCCATAGAAAAGAGAAGATAAATTGGACTTGAAGATTACACACTTTTGGGTTTCAAAACACTATTGAGGAAGTGAAGACAGCCCATTAAATAGGTGAAAATATTAGTCAATCACACATTTGATGAGGTGCTAGTATCCAGAATATATACAGAACTCTTACAACTTGATAATGAAGAAACAAATAAAGAATGGCCAAAGAATCTAAATACTGATTTCTCCAAAGATGACCAAAGGTCAACGGGCACAATATGCTGAAATCATTTGTTATTAGGGAAATGCAAGTCAAAACCAGAATAGTACACCCAGGATGGCTGTAATAAGAAAGGTGGATTAACAACAAATATCAAAGATGTGGAGAAATCGGAACCCTTGCACACTGATTGTGGAAATGTAAAATGCCTCAGCTATTTTGGAAAATGGTTTGGCAGTTCCTCAAAAGGTTAAATATAGTTACCATATGACCTAGTAATTCCATTCCTGAGTCCAGAGAAATGAAACACGTCCACACAAAAATTTGCAATGAATTTCAGAGCAGCATTATTCATGATAGCTAAAAAGTAGAAACAACACAAATACCCATCAACAGATGGATGAATCAACAGAATATGGTATTTCCATACAATGGGTTATTGTTGAGTCCCAAAAAGGAATAAAGCACTGATATGTACTACAACAGGTATGAACCTTCAAAGGGCCACATATTGTCTGATTCCATTTACAGGAGATGTCCAGAAGAGAAAAGTCCATAAAAACAGAAAACAAATTTGCTGAACAGCTGTGAGAAGGGAATATGAGGAGTGAGTGCTAATGGCCACAAGGTTTCTTCTGGGGGTGATGGAAACGTTCTCAAGTTAGGTAGTAGGGAAGGCTGCAAAAACTTTGTGAATATGCCACTGAATTGTTCACTGTAAAAAGATGACCTTGTATGTCATGTGAATTAGATAGAAATCAAAAAAATCTAAGATGTGGAGTTGAAAGGATTCTTTAAAAATTCAAGGTTTATCTTTAAAGGTTTGACTTGGATAGGAAGATGAGAGCTGTAGTACATTTGTGTTTAGTTAAAAAAAATTCCATTACTTTTCCCTAAAACCCCCATCATTTCCTTCCTCCCTCCCCCTAATCTCCTACCTTACTGCTTCCAAGTAGTATCACTTTATTATCACAGACAGATCGTTTTCAATGGTTTCTTCAGAGAAAATTGATTTTCATTTGGATACTTTTTGACATTAAAAACCACTCACCTGCTGTTTTGTACTTTTATTGGTTTTGACCGAATAGTGGATGTCCTTCATGGCTCTCTCTATAAGGATAACAGTGTACGGTCTCTTTGTTTCAGGGTTCACACACTTGTCGGCCACAATGGTTGCAATGTCCCTGAACATCTGCTCCAGCTGTGTATGCCGTTCTTTATCTGATACTTGAACCTCTCCTTTAGTCAAAATCTAAAAAAACCCCAGATTTAAATATATTTATTGCACATTATTTGTTAACTGACCACAAGAATAACTTGGTAGAGAAAATTAAATTCCATCCTCTTCAGCTACTCACATATAGGTAATAAATTGAACTTTGCCTAAATGATACACTGGATTATCTTGTGCTCTAAGATACTATTTATTTAGGTGGGGGAAGGGGAAAAGTCAATTTAGGCAAAGGTTGTAAATGGTGAAACCCTTGAAAAGAAAATTTAATTTTAGGTATATTATGCTCAAAATATAAAAATGGACAAAAATAAGGTAATTTAGTAGAAAATTTAAGTTTTGGAGACTTTGACAAAATATATTCATGTCCTGCATTATTAAAAATGATGCCACACAAAAAGACTCCCCAAATAATCTGACTAAAACGAGCAGAGAACTCGAATAGACATTTTCTCAAGCAAGACATACAGGTGGCCAACAGACACATGAAAAGATGCTGAACATCACTCCAACACCACTCATCATCAAAGGAATGCGAATCAAAGCACAATGAGTTTTCACCTCACCCCTATCAGAATGGCTAGAAATCAAAAAAACAAGAAACCAACAAGTGTTGGAGAGGATGTGGAGAAAAAGGAACTCTCAGTGCCCTGTTGGTGGGAATGCAAACTGGTACAGCCGCTGTGGAAGACAGTATAGAGGTTCCTCAAAAAAATAAAAATAGAACTACCATGTGATCTCGTAATTTCACCACTGGGTACTTACCCAAAGAAAATAGAAACACTAATTTGAAAAGATATTTGCACCCCAGTGTTTATTGCAGTATTCTTTTCAATAGCCATGATGCAACCTAAGTGTCCACTGATAGATGAATGGATAAAGAAATAGTATACATACACAATGGAATATTACTCAGCCATAAAAAAGAACGAGATCTTGCCATTTGCAATGACATGGATGGACCTAAATGGTATAACGCTAAGTGAAATAAGTCAGACAAAGAGTAATACCGTATGATTTCACTCCTATTTAGAATTTAAGAAACAAATAAACAAACAAAAAAAGGGCACAAACAAAAAAAGACTCTTAACCATAGTGGTTGCCAGAGGGGAGGTGGGTAGGGAATGGGTGAAATAGATAAAGGGGATTAAGAGGTACAAACTTCCAGTTATAAAATAAGTCACAGAGATGAAAAAACAGCATATGGAATACAGTCAGTAAGACTAATAACATTGCTTGGTGACAGGTGGTGACGACACTTATCATAGTAAGCACTAAATTACAGAATGCATACAAAAGAACGCACAGTGATGTGTATTGTTGAATCACTATGTTGTACACCCGAAACTAATTCTAACACTATTAATTATACGTCAATTAAAAAAGTGATGTTACTCAGGTTACGCCTAAAAAATAACGATTCAAGTTTAACATACGTTCAAGTACTTCTAACACATAGCTCTTAGAACTCACCTGCTTACAGATTTCTGTCTGGTCATCTGTTCCAAATGCACTGATCAGATCTTCCTTCTTTGCAACTTGACCTTTAGAAACATTTACAAACACTGAGTGGGTCTGTAGAACTTCATCAAGGTCTTTTTCCCTTGTGACAGCAGGAGAGAAAAGTCCTAAGTGAACACACTTGAAACTTGGAAATTCATTCACATTTAAATACAAGATGGTAGTGACATGATAGTAAGAAACAACAAATACTCAGCGAGAGGGAACATTTTCAAAACTCAGAACCGTATCTGTATTCCCACTTACTCACTGGAGAAAAACGTCACGGGATCATGTATGAAACACTGAGCTGTGGGGGCAGAGGGCGGGCTGCTGCCAGGGAATTCCGATCCCTAGATGGCAGCAGCGAAGACACTACGCACTTCGGTGAAAACTCAGGGCAAAGATCTGTGACATCAGGATGTGCTATAGCCACGGAAGTATTTGGAAGACTAGGTCTCCACCCTTTAACATTATTTTGGCAAAAGGGCCATATTTTGGGGATTTCTTGGCTGTGGCTTTCAGGACACCAACCAATTAACACAAAACTCCGAACCAACAACCCAAACCACAACAATTCAACAAAAAGGGAATCCTGGATTTAAGCGCTAAGCTCGGGAAAGACAGTGACTTTTCACGCTCACTGCAGGAATAAATTGTCCATTTCCTTCCCTGTCAAGACACCAGCTCGAACACTAGGGGCAGGCCGCCTCGGAGGCTACAAGCTCCGGCCAGAGCTCGGACGGAGAGGGTCACTCACACGCCGCTCCGCCAGCCGACGACTTTGTTCTTGTAGCAGGCGATTTCGAAGCGCTTCCCGGCGCGCTTCATCCGTACCACGGCCACATTGGTTAGGCGGATCTGGTTGGTGGGGGTGAAGATCGACATGGTGGCTGCTCACAGCCCTCCCCGGGTCTGGTGAACCAAGGCACACCCGTGCGGCCGGCCGGAGGGACCACCTGCGCCTTGCTGTAACGACCCGGCAGCGCGCGGCACGACCACTACCTACCCGGACGGCCGCCACAATACACCCAGTTGACTTATTGCGCAGGCGTCAGGTGTTGCGGAAACCGGGCGAGGAAACGTGAGCAACGACGCCTGCGCATTGTGGTTTTTACGACATCGTTCGGCTCGCGACAAGAGAAGCGCTCTTCCTCGATGGAATTTACTTCCGCCAAGGAGCTCTGATTGGCTGGTGTTGCTGATGTTTTAGCTACCGGCTGGAAACGTAGAGTCGGTCCCTCAGAGTTCCGCAGGTTTCGGGGTCGCGCCCTCAAACTTCTCTTACGGAAAAATTGTAAAATAAAAAACTTGAGAAAACAGTGTGATGAACCGCCACGAACCCATCGCCCTGCTTCAACGATTATCAACATTTTGCCATTCATGTTCCATTCTCCCTCTTCTTTTTGGTCAGAGTAGTTTAAAGCAAATTATAAGGTTTTAGCTTTACAGTCTGTACTCCTCACAGATGAACGCAACAAGATTAACCATTATTCCTTAATATCATCCACTAGCCAGCCCATAACCCAATTTCTCGAAATAATGCTTTTTCACAATCGGTGTGTTTGAAGTGAGGTCCAAAGGAGACACAGATTACGTCTGGTTGATGATACGCTTTTAATGTGCCCATCTTTCCCAGGTTTCTTTCCTATACCACCACGCCTGTTTTGACCCTGCTTCCCTCTAGACCCGCCCCTTGCACCTCTGAGCCAATCCGAGAGGAGCCGGGAGCGCTTGGGCTACCTAGCTTGGATCTCTAAGCGGGGCTTCTCTCTGGGCCCGCCCCTTCCCCCTCTGAACCAATCCGGACGGGCTGGCGAGTGGCATGGCTGCCCCCAGCTCTCCGGGCTCTGGGTATACTGGTAATACTTCAAGATAGTTCTGGTCGTCTCCCGGTGTCCGAGCCAGGTTCTTCAGGTCTGCAGTCCTAGTCTATCGGGCCGCAGAGCCTGGGCTCTGAGGAGAATGGGTAAGCCGTCACCCCCTCCCCCCGCCCCCCGACAGGCAAAATCGTGGAGGGGGAGGAGAGAGGGAACCGTTTTTCTCACTCTCTCCTGGCGGAGTGGCGTCCTCGAGGACCGTCCTTCAGAGGTTGTTGCACTTGTCAGCCCGGGACAGGAGCCATTGACAGCAAGGGAGGATTGATCCTTGCTTTTGACCTGGCTTTTGCCTCATGAGGTTAGGGGATGAGTTCAGAAGGAACTGTGCTTCTGACCTCAAGTAAAACGCATAGAGAACTGCCCACTTTCTTTACCCACGTGTTTGGTGGCTTTTGGTCTTTTCCAGGGTGGAGCAGCAACGGCAAAGCCCATGTTTGTTTTTTCCACGGTGGAGCAGCACCTGTAAACCCCAGAATTTAGGCTTCGCCTTTTGAAATTGCCTCCAGTTCAACATTTGAGGCCAGGTCCATTCATACGTCTTTCCAAAAAACGGGGTGTGAGATCCATTGCAAGTAACAGTGGGTCTTTAAAACTAGAGCAAAGAGAATAGTATTTTTTAAAGCTTTTCTTATGGAGTACTCAAAACACAGCAGAGTTAATTCCACGTAAAGTGTTTTGACTTTGTTCACTTCTCTTGCTTCCAAGTGCTATATCCAAATGAAGGTACAATTTTGTGTTTTTCTGAGTTAGCATCGTTACGGTAATTTTATCACATGACCACATGCAGTTGTATATTATTTATATTAGAGTTGATTTTTTTTTTAGAATTCTTAGCCGGGTTGTTGAATATGAAGGTTGGTTTTATTTTATTTTTTAATGTTTATTTTTGAGAGAGAGACAGAGACAGAGAGAGACAGCATGAGCAGGGGAGGAGCAGAGAGAGGGGGAGACACAAAATCCAAAGCAGGCTTTCCAGGTTCTGAGCTATTCAGCACAGAGCCCATTGCTGGGCTTGTGACAGCTTAGAGCCAGATGTGGGGCTCGAACTCATGGAGTATGAGGTCATGACCTGAGCTGAAGTCAGATGCTTAACTGAGCTACTCAGGCGCCCCTATTTTATTTTTTATTCTTAAAATAAGGATGGGCAGCTTTGTATATGTAACTTTATGTAAAATTACATGTATGTATTTTTTAAATTTAGATCCTTCTTTGGATACATGGGACTTCTCTTCACCTTTAATATCATTATGGATAAACAGGTTTTACATATATTTGGGCTTTGCCTTTGGCATTAGCCTTTGGATTTGTTTCCAGATTGTCATCAGGAAGCAGGTAAGTGGAGTTGGTTTTTATAGGAGAGAATTAAGGCATTAGATTTATAGAGAATTTAGAGTGCAGATTTTCTAAGGTTTTCAGAAAAGCTAAAAGGAACTTTTCAGTCACTTTTATGTTTGGTCTCTACACAGGTTTTTTTTTTTTTTTTATGCCTAAAAATTTTATTCTCAGTTTTTAGAGACAAATTTATTATGAAATAAGTTATTTATGTTTTCTTTGATGGGCTGTGGATGTTTTACTCTTGAGATACAGGAAGAGTTCATAATGAAAAATTAAGCCTTCATAAGAAAAATCTATTTAGCACTTTTAAAGAGTAGTAGTCTTCTGTTTTCTTACCACTAATTAAGGATTGGAAAGTAAGTTCCTCGTCTTATTTCGATAAAGCACATTATGGATGAATGTATGTATAGTTAGTTCTGTCCTGGAGGAATTGGGAATCTTTATAGCCTTAAGGATCGTAGGTCCAGCCTTTAAAGGACCTAATTATATCAAGGGGTTAATATTTGAGGAGTACACCAGAAAGATTAAGAGAATAGTAAAATCGGTTATTGTCTGTGCTGTCATCACTACTGAAGTTGGGAAAAGACTCAAACTTGATGGATTTTGTGTAGTTGTTTATCTTCAAGGGCAAGAACTCAAAGGATAAATCTGTTCCAAAAGCAACTCGGGATTTGATGACAAATGGTTATATCTCTCTTCAAAAGAAGGACATCTTAGTGTCTGGAGTGAAGATTTTCTATGGTTCCCAGACTGGAACAGCGAAGGTGAGAACTTCATATGATATTTTTCTCTGGGTTTCTTGATCTTTTAGAAGATCGCTTAAAGGTATCCATTCACAGTGAACTGAATCGGTCTTCTAATTTTTTTTTTTTTCTTTTAAATCTTCTTTTTTCCCTTCCTCAGGATACCTTTTTCCTTCCCAGGGCATTGCGTGGGTTTTTAACCCTTGTGCCCAATTCCAGCCTTGTGCCCAATTCCAGCCCAATTCCAGTCTGATGGTCACTGTCCTGAGGGGTTTTGTGCTGAAGCTTGCTTCTGCCTCAGCAGAATGGAGAGTTCTAAGCCTATTACTGATGGCGGGTGCGGAAGTAGGGGATAGTGAAAAGAGCATGTCAGCAGTAGCGTCCAGTATGGGACGGGGCCCTGACTTTCACGACGTCACACATCTACTTAATAAAACGTGTTTTGATTTAATAGCGTTAAAAGTGTTAACAGTAGACATCGAATACTGCTTAAAGTAGATATGTGCTGCGGATGTATTTGCTGTCGGCTTCTTTGTTATGAAGGTCACAGCTATTTAGTGCTTTTTAGGAAAAGATTCTAAGGCGAAGGTGAAAATGAAGTTAAAAAGTCAGTGTCAACTGATTTTTGTGGGGTACTGAAGAGGGTCGTACTGCCCTCTTGTGGATGTTTTGTAGAATAATATTTCTTCGCTTTTCAGAACTCCAGTGCCGGCTTTGTGCCACATCATAGTTGAAGGTCACTTAACATTAAGGGTTCAGCCTTAAGCAACAGAGGTGGGGAACCAGAAGAAATGTAAAAAAGGCATCTGAGCAGCCAAAACAAAGTCCTTTTATGTTACTCATAGAAGATCTCAAAGCCTCTCTTTATGTGTGTTTTTAATTTTTTTAAAAGATCAAATTGACACTTGAAGACTGTAACAAATCCAGGTGTGTGGGGGGTTCATACTAAAAAGTACTTTCTAGTGAATCTTTTTTTAACTATTTTTTCTTTTTGATTCCTCTGATGGCTGTTTCTTTATGCTGTGTTTCTAGATTGATCAATGTTGGATAAAAGTTATTGACTTCTTACATTAGTTAACACAGACTTTCCTCATATATCGGTTGTTGGCCTGTTGGCTTAATGTCGTTGGCATCTCATTGTTGATACGGGTTAGATGACCCTCCTAAAAGCTATGCCATCTGAATTTCTTTATTCTGCTTTCACATTTAATGGCTTCATATTTGCTGGGTGTAGATTAGTTTTTCCTTACAGCTTTGAAGGCATCACTTTATTGTCTTACACCGGTCAGTGTTGTTGATGAAAAAGTTAGTCTCCTCATTCCTTTGTAGATGACTTGATTTTTGTGTTTCTGGAAGCTTTTAGAGTCATGTCTTTGTCCTTGAGGTTTGGAACTTTTTTGAGATGGTGTCTAGGTTGGATCTTTTTTCAGCTGTTGTGCTGGACACTTGGGCTCTTTTGAAGATTTGTGAGCATTTCTGCTAATGTTTTTGGGCATATTTTTTCCCTTCCATTTTCTGTTTTTTTCTTTAAAAAAAATTTTTTTTTAATGTTCATTTTTGAGAAAGAGAGTGAGAGAGACGGAGATAGAGTGTGAACAGCAGAGGGGCAGAGAGAGAGGGAGACACAGGATCCGAAGCAGGCTCCAGGCTCTGAGCTGTCAGCATAGAGCCAGATGCGAGGCTCAAACTCACAAACCATGAGATCATGACCTGGGCCCAAGTTGGTCGCTTAACTGACTGAGCCACCCAGGCTTCCCATTTTTATTTTATTAAAAAAATTTTTTTTTAAACTGTTTTTTTCTTTCTGTCATTTGTGTTGGCTGGATATTAGAGCTTTTGGATGGCTTCTTTGTCTTAAATCTTTTCTCTTTTGTAACTCTTTTTCTTTCCACTTGGGGTTGTGGGATTTCAATTCCAAACCTTTTTGAATGTTTTATTTTGGTTCTTATGTTTTTAGTTGCAAAAACACCATTTTGTTCGTTTTTTTCTACCCCTCCCCCCAATTTTGTTCGTTTTTAAAACATGTTTATTTTTGAGAGAGAGCTCGTGCACATGAGTGAGTGGGGAAGGGGCAGAGAGAGGGGGACAGAGGAGCCCAAGAAAGCTCCATGCTGACAGCAGAGAGTGTGATGTGGGGCTCAAACTCAAGAACTGTGAGATTAGGACCTGAGCCAAGGTCAGACACTTTCTAACCTTGCCATTTTTCTTTCCTGCTGCTTGTTCTAGTCAAGTTCCTGGTGAACCATGGTTTTCTGTTCATTTTTAGACAGAATGATGGGCTAGCTGGTGTGGGTTTTCTCTGTTCTTGTGTGAACAGATGTGTGTTCTTTAATTATAAATTTTTCACCGGACGCTCTGTGCAGGGTGGGTCAGAGCATACCGTGTGACCTATTGCCTATTGGCCCCATATCTCCCTCTAACTGCCATCTCAGATTTTTTTTTTTTTTTAAGAGTAAAGCGCCTTGAAAATATCTGCCACTCTCTCTAAATCTCCAATTTCCCTACTCCTGTTTTTCTTGGACCACTCTTGTCAGGCTTCTATGCCCTGACGTGTTCCCGGTGCTTTCCATATTGCTAATTAGTTCTCACCTTTCATCTTACTTGACATTCTTCTCTAGGTCATCCTCCTGCTTGGCCAGGGCTAGTCTTCCTTACTTATCATCTGTAATTTCTCCTCTGCTTGACCTCTAAAGGTAGGAGTGTCCCAAGGCTCCGTCCTTGAGACCCTGTCTCTATTTGCACTCACTGTGCTTTCTAAGGGATCTTATTATCTAGACTGTGTTCTTGCCTCTAGATACAATTTGGCAGACTTTCTCTGTAAAGGGCAAGCCATTTTATTTTTTACGCTATGTATGTGTATGTATTTAGGCTTTTAGTTTTTGTGGGCCAAACAGCCTTTGTTGCAGCTGCTCAGCTCTGCTGCCTTGGCGTGGATGCAGCCACAGACAATACGTAAATTAAGTGGCATGACTGTATCCCTGTAACTTGCACCTGTAGAACCAAACGGAGGGCTGGATTTGACCTGCCGGCCTTCGTTTGTATGCGCTGAGGGCCTCTGAATTTATGGTTTTCATCTGAACTGTTCCCCTCAACTCCAGACTCCCATGTCCAGTTACCTATCTTAGATCTTTATGTGATGTCTAGTAGGCATCTCAGAATTCAGATGCTCAAACTGAACTCCCGAGTTTTTTGTCCAGACCTTTTTCACTTACACTCTTTACCAACTTCATCTTTCCAGTTGCCTAGCTCAAAGAAAACCTTTGGCTTCTCTCTTTTTCCTACTCCCCTCCCCCCATGCAATTTGTCAGCAAATGCTGTTTGTTCTACTTCCACAATGGATCCAGGTGCCAGTCACTTCTCAGCACTGTGGTTCGGGGCACCCTCAGATTTTGTCTGGATCACTGCAGTCACGTCCCCTTCATTCAGTGCCGCTCGGCCCCTCCCTCGGCTTCAGGGCCCTCTCAGCTCCACAGCCAGAGGGACTCTGAAAACTTAAGTGGAACCGCATTCCCATCAGTGACCTCCTCATTCACTTAGAGTAAATGCCAAAGCCCTCACAGTGGCCAGGAAGCCCTCACGTCTGGTTTTCCATTATCTCTTTTACCTCATTTCCTTGGTCCCCCCCAGTCCCTTTGCCAAGCCTGCCCCCTTTGGGCCTTTTCACTTCCATGTTACCTCTGTTTGGGGTAGCCGCATGGCTTGCCCTCTCATTTCCTTCAGGTTTGGCTCAAATCTTTGTCTTTGAGACCACTTCTCCAGTTCTGATACCAGCTACCCAGAGTTTTTGTCAGATTCCACAGGTATAAGGGCCCAGTCTACAAGACTTGTCTTCACTTCAGATGCCAGGGGCCACTAGTCCCAGGGGCCACCTGTGCTTGTGACTGGAACAGCTATAAGTTCGATCCCACGGTCCTCCTTAGGTTCGATAATTTCCCGGAACGATTCACAGAACTCAGGAATTGCCTGACTGGCTACATTTACTGGTTTCTTGTAAAGGACACAAGACAGACACAGACAAATGGCAGACATGCATAGGGCAAGGTATGGTGGACAGGAATGGCTCAGAGCTTCTGGACCTTCTCTGTGCACCACCTTCTCAGGGTAACAATGTGTCCACCAACCCAGAAACTCCCTGAAACCTGTCCGTTAGAGGTATTAATGGACATTTCAAATCATTGGCCATTGATGATTGAACTCACTGGGAACGATGGTACTGAAAGTTCTAAATCTCTAATCATGTTGTTGGTTTTGTGACGACCAGCCTCCCTCCTGTAGCTACCTGGGGCCTGCCTCCCCATAAGTTACTTCATTAGGATACCGAAGTCAGTAAGTTCCAAGGGTTTTAGGACCTTTGTGCCTGGAACTAGGGGCAAAGACTGAATATGTGTATGCATATTTTTATCTTATGTACCTGTTCTGACACTCCCTGTGTATAATGACAACTATCGTCATACCTGTAATACTGTATTCTTACCCTTTACCCCGATTTATTTTCTTCCATAGCACTGGTCATCCTCTGATTAACTATGTGTTTTCTCATTTCTTTGCTGTGTATCTGTCCATTAGAATGCAAGCTCCCTGAAGGCAGGGACCATGTGTGTCTTGTTCACTGTTGTGTAATATTTCCCAGAACTGAGACTGGCATAGTAGATGCCCAGTAAATTAATAGATGCTTGGTAGGCTTAGCTTTAATCCTGGGAGCTTAGACTACTTAGCAAAAAATAGGAAGGCATTTTCCAGAGTGCTGACACCTGGCTAGAGGTTTGAGCTTTCCCCAAACGTTGGGTTCATTTTGTTTGGAGAAGAGCTAGCAGGTGTTTTGTCTGGGGGGTAAAGGGTGGATGTTGCCCAGGCTCTGTGTGCACTTGTTCCATATACAGATTGTGTACTGATGGGCTCTTCTCTGCCCAGGGTCCCCCCCAGCTTTGGTGTAGTGGCTGACTTTGAGCCCAGAACCCCTCTGGGGTTCTGTCAGGAACATGGACTGTCCCGTAGGGCTTTCTCCTCCTTGTCAACCTGCTTCTGTTTGCTTTTTATCTTCCAGAAACGTGTCAGATTTCTTACATCCCACATTCTCTTCCCTCTTCAGGATTTCTTACCTCCTCTATGTTTATTCTAGTGGGGCAAAGCAGCTGGAATGTCAAAAAGCCAATTTAGATTTAGTCCCGTATATGTACTTACAGAGTGAGAACAGCACAGTTGAATGATTGATCTCCATAAAGATGCTTGGGAAAATGGTAGAAGTGAGAATAGCGTTTGGGTTTATGATGATAAATGTCAGTGACTGCAAAAAGTTTTTCATGATAAACGCCTATTCCCTTGCCGACAGAGGTAAATTAAGACTGTACTTTGCTTATTTAGCTCATCGAAGAGTTTATGTGATTTTTTTTTTTTTTTTCCCATTAGGGATTTGCAGCAAGTCTTGCTGAAGCAGTTACCTCCCTAGGTCTGCCTGTGGCAGTTATTAATCTCCAAGAATACGATCCAGATGATCATCTAGTAGAAGAGGTTGGTAATTGTGTTAAGTTTTTCTTCAGTCCAAACTCTCAAATGTAACTGACCTCCTGCGTTCTGGGATAAATAGAATCTTCAGAACAAATTTCATTTTCATGCTAAGGCATTTCAGTTGGCTGAGTTTGCAGGGTCAGTTAGAGGTGTTGAATATATGGTGTGGGACCCATCCCCCTGGCATGTGGTCTCTCCTGGGGTGGGGGTAAAGGTGGGGAAGCTTGGTGGCTTGAAGTTCCCTCCTCCCTCCTGAACCAACCTCATAATCCAGGGAAGATTGTGATTGATGGCAGTGTGCAGAGCACGTGAACCACGCGTGAGCTTGCTGAGAGGTCAGGAGCCACTTGGGTAGCAGAAAGAGGATGGGTTTGGGACTTACACAAGTCTCTCACTACCTGCGTGACCTCTGTGCATTACTTAATTATCTGTGTGGGTTTAATTTCTTCACCTGAGAAATGCCCCTTGCTCTCGTCTAGTTACACTCAGAGAAGTTTGCCTTACAGCACTGATTCTCGAACCAGCATTCTCAGCATCTCCTGGGAACTTGTTGGAAATGCAGGCCGGCCCTGCTGAATCAAAGTCTGGATGGGGGACTGTATTTTTACAGGTGCTCCAGGTGATTCTGAAGCAGCTAAAGTTGGAGAAGCACGTAGAGCAGGGGTTAATGAACTACTTCTGTAAGGGGCCAGATAGTAAATATCATCTGATTTGGGCGCTGTGCACACAGTTCTGCCTTTGAGGCACAAAACAACCATAGGCAATGCAAATGAATGAGTGTGCTGTGTTCTAATAACACTTTGTTTTTAAAAAAAACAGGCAGTGAGCTGGACTGGGCCTATGGGACATAGTTTGCCAGCCCCTTCTTAGTCGATAGCCTCCTAGCTGTAACTGTCCATTTCTTTCTCCCATAAGAAAATGGTGGGGTGCAAATGAGTGACCTTGAATCTGCTCACAATTTCTTGTGAAAAATTATTAGCAAACTTTGAGATTTAATTATTTTTTTTACCATCAAAATATTTTATTGGGATTTAATTATTAATAAAGGATTGCTTATAACTTATCTCATGACTTGGAATTTAAAAACAACATTTTTTTTAAAGGTTTGTTTATTTATTTACTTAGAGAGGAAGGATGTGAATGAAGGAGGGGCAGAGAAAAGGGAGAGAGGATCCCAAGCACACTCCACATTTGATCTCATGACCGTGAGATCTTGACCTAGGCCGATATCAAGAGTTGGCCACTTAACTGATTGAGCCCCCCAGGCGCCCCATGACTCGGAATTTTTGAGGTTCATTCAAGCAGATTGGAATACCATGGCTAGCAGGACTGAAGGCGTATTTTGTTTCCCTGTGTAGATGATAGTGCCATGTGTTAAGTTACCTTACATTTAAAAAGTTTATTACATTAATTTTTCAGATAGTTTTAATGACATCTTTCTGTTTTTCTTCCCGACTGATTTGGATTTTGTTTCCAATAGGGCAGTTGGAGATGATAGGAGCTTATAGTCTGAGGACTGGAATGGAATATATAGTTAAGGGCACCAGGGGTGTATTGGCAGGGGCAAAGGACTGGGTTTTCTCCCCGTGCAAAGTGTTCTTGCTCTGTTTTCTTCCACTTTTGAAAGTGAGTAACATTTTGAAAGCACCCTGTGCCCTTAGAGACTAGTATTAATGTGGATGTCAGCATTTTAAAAAGGGATTTTCTTCACTGGTAAGTTATATTGTGAATATTCTTCTGAAATAATTACTTTCTTGGTTAGGTTACTAGTAAAAACGTTTGTGCCTTCGTGGTTGCTACGTATACTGATGGTCGACCCACTGAAAGTGCAGAGTGGTTCTGCAAATGGTTAGAGGAGGCATCCAGTGATTTCCGATTTGGCAAAACTTACCTGAAGGGTATGAGATATGCTGTATTTGGCCTGGGAAATTCTGCCTATGCGAACCACTTCAACAAGGTAGGTACAAAGTAGGTGTATGTTGAATTGTAGTGATAAATTCTCTTTTAATAAAAAAAAAAATTCATACACACATTTGTGTGTGAAATAATCCACAAACTTTGGTACTTAATAATAAACTTGTTGTGTTACTCTATTATAATGGGGAATTGTTACACATATGTATCCAAGGTTGGTGCGTAGTAGGCGGTCAGTAAATTTTATTGAATAAAATGCTTATACTTCCTGTTGTCTAGTGTCTTAGTGGCTTGGATTCACGGTCATTGAGTCTAGTCTGCCGTCCCCAGGCAAGACCTTGTGGATGGAAGATCAGTGGTTCTTTGGACTGTCTCAGCTGCCTGTTCTATAGTTGAACAACCTTTATGGCTCAGGCTAACTCTGAATACCATTGAGCTCATTGTCTTTTAATGATTAATTTTTTTTAACGCTTATTTATTTTTGAGAGATAGAGACAGCACGAGTGAGGGAGGGGCAGAGAGAGAGGGGGAGTCACAGAATCTGAAATGGATTTGGGCTCCAGCTCGGGAACGGTGAGATCATGACCGAGGCTGAAGTCGGATGCTTAACCGACTGAGCCACCCAGGCGCCCCAATCATTAATTTTTTTTCTTCTTTTTTTTTTTTTTTTTTTTTTTTAAATTTTTTTTTTTCAACGTTTATTTATTTTGGGGACAGAGAGAGAGACAGAGCATGAACGGGGGAGGGGCAGAGAGAGAGGGAGACACAGAATCGGAAACAGGCTCCAGGCTCTGAGCCATCAGCCCAGAGCCCAACGCGGGGCTCAAACTCACGGACCGCGAGATCGTGACCTGGCTGAAGTCGGACGCTTAACCGACTGCGCCACCCAGGCGCCCCCAATCATTAATTTTTAAAAGGAAATAGAAGAAAAGCATTTGCTGCCTTTTATGTAGTAAGACATTGTTTTGTTTTCCTAGATCTTTTTTCTAAATGCAATTAACTTGGGCTCCTTTTCTTTTGCGTTCTATCCTCTATACTTTAAGTAATAAAAATATAGAGCCTCTCCATTCCTTGAGATTCTAAACAGTTACTGGAACTTTTTGTATATGTACCTCTTCCCAAAATTGGGCCCAGCCAGGCTCACCTGTCTTTGGTAGAATGTGAGTAGAGGTGAAAGTAGAGATCTTCTTTTGAGCTTGTTTTCATTCAGTTGTTATATCAAGATGTGTATTTCTGGCTATATTTTCAAAGGAATTAGAAAAAAAAAAGGTAAAATTCAGATATGTGAGTGTTTAATGCCTTGCCACTCACAAAGCCTGTTAAGTTTTGAACTCTCTCTCTCTTTTTTTTTTAATTTAGTTTGTGAGAGAGAGGGAGAGAGCCACGAGTATGAGCAGAGGAGGGGCAGAGAGAGAGAGGGAGAGAATCCCAGGCAGGCTCCTTGCTGTCAGTGCGGAGCTCCACACAGCTGTGAGATCCCGAGTGGAGCTGAAATCAAAAGTAGGATGGTTAACCAACCCAGGCTCCCCTTAAGTTTTTGAGCTTTTAACCATGCATCTTGGCAATCCCTGTACCTCAGCCTAACTGCTTCTTACTGCAACACGTTCAAGTTCTGAATTTATAAAGCCGTGAGGCGTGCCAAACGGGCTGCACTTTCTTATTAAAGTGGGCTTTGCTACATTTGGAATCTCATTTTGCTAATGAGTTATTTTATTCTGACCATGACTAAGAATAGGGGTTTTCAGAGTCTTTTTTTAGGTAGTAATCTTAACCTTAATAAAAGGGTTTGTCTGTCCCTTTGTTTAAAAAAAGTCTTTTGCAAGGTGCCTGGGTGGCTCAGTCAGTCGAGCGTCTGACTTCAGCTTAGGGTAATCTTGGCAGTTCATGAGTTCGAGCTCCGCATCAGGCTCACTGCTGTCAGTGTGGAGCCCGCTTCGGATCCTCTGTACCCCCGCTTTTTGTCCCTCCCCCACTTGCACTCTAAATTTTTTTTAATGTTTATTTATTTTTGAGAGAGAAGCAGAACATGAGCAGGGGAGGGGCAGAGAGAGAGAGGGAGACAGAATCTGAAGCAGGCTCCAGGCTCTGAGCTGTGAGCACAGAGCCCCATGTGGGGCTCGAACCCACACACTATGAGATCATGACCTGAGCCGAAGTCAGACGCTTAGCCGACGGAGCCACCCGGGTGCCCCAAGACATTGAAAAAATAACAATAAAATAAAGTCTCTTGCAGAATCTTGTCAGAATGTAACCAGTGTAGCGTTTCAGGTTGCGGCTGGGGCTGGAGGGCCTGCTGCCCTTCAGCTAAGCTCCCTCTTCCCAGCAGCAGCCAGTGACAGGGGTCCCGGAGGATCATGGACCTTTTGCAGAGCAGTCTACAAGCCTGTGATGCCGAGGATTATCTGTCTTCTTGCAGGTTGGCAAGAATGTCGATAAGTGGCTCTGGATGCTTGGTGCTCACCGTGTGGTGGCTAGAGGGGAGGGTGACTGTGACGTGGTTAAAAGCAAACATGGCAGCATTGAAGCTGACTTCAGAGTTTGGAAGACCAAGTTCATCTCCCGGCTACAGGCACTTCGGAAAGGAGAGAGAAAACCCTGTGGCGGCAACTGCAAGAAAGGCCAGTGTGAATCATCTGCGGTACGGAGCCTCTGTGTCCCTGTCTCGCTGCTTTCCCCTGGTGTTTGGAGGTGCTGAACCTCACCTCTGCCCGGAGAAGCGCCTTCTCTGGCTTCTAGTTAGAGGGAAGCTCTGAGACTCACGCGGTGGCGTTTTAGAGAGAGAGCGGCCTTAAGAGTGAAGCCAGTTTGTGCTCTGTGCCTTCCCACCTCTCCTATTTAATAGTTACGTGGCCAGCAGGTAGTTAATAGTTAATAGTTACACGGCCAGAGGCCTGAAGTTAGCTGAGCTCCTGTCCTCGTGTCCCCTAACCACGTCCTCCTGCTGACCTGTCTTACTGAACGATTCCTTTAGTCACTCAGACTGGAAGGCTGTCCCATCCTAGATTCCTGTCTTCTGTCCCTCACATTCTAAACAAGTCTCTTGGCTCCTGGTTCAGGTACCTAGTTCCTTGGAAGCTCATGTCACCAGGCTGTTTCACGGCTGTCTGTCTGTCCTTTGGCACTGGGTCACTTGTGTCATTCAGGAACCACTTTACATTCTGACTCACTTTCTCTCCACCCTTGTTCCTGTCATTACCCTTTGGGGCAAAGCCATCCATGAAGGTGATTGATCCAGCCGCCCGACCTTCCAGTTGCCTGGCCTTCATACCCCCAGCAGGCATGTTCTTCACTCACTTAGGCCTCTTCCATGGTCATCTCTGAAATTTCATGTTCCTGTGACCTGAACTCTGACCTGCCTCAGGTGTCCTACTTTATTTACAATTCTTTTGATCCCATGCCTTTTTCATTGGGGAGTGAAAACTGCTTTCTTCACTTCTGCCCTTATCCAGGTTAGGTTTTATGCTCATTCTCTTATAAACGTCTTCAGTTGCCTTGCCTTCCACTTCCTTTTCTCACCCAAATGGCCAAACCCCAAGCCAGGTCGAAACCTCCCACCTGCCTTCCCCTTTGCCTGCTGCTTGCTCTTTGACCCTGGATTCACGACCACAGGCCTATGTATGCACTCAAACCTGCCCAGCAGTCTCCAGCGTTCTTGTGTGAGTTCCCTTTCTCACTCTCCAAGATGACTGATTAATACTCTCCGTGCCTGGGGGCGCCTGGGTGGCTCAGTTGGGTGAGCGTCTCACTCTTGATTTCGGCTCAGGTCATGATCTCACGGTTTGTGGGTTCGAGCCCCACACCTGGCTCTGTGCTGACAGTGTGGAGCCTGCTTAAGATTCTCTCTCTCATGGGGTGCCTGGGTGGCTCAGTGGGTTAAGCGTCTGACTCTTGATTACCGCTCATGTCATCATCTCACAATTCGTGA